TTAAAAAATGGCAGGAGGAGAAGGAGGAGGAGGAGAAGAAGAAGAAGAAACATCAGAAAAAGCAATATGGTTTCACCACACCACTTCGTGGTGTGGTGAACCCATAATAAAAAAATTGGTCGCCCTGCGAGCGCTCAGTGGTCGCCGAGCTTTCGCAGCCGAAAAGGTGTGTAGGACACCGCCTAAAGCTAGCGTAGCGACTCGTCTTGTATTTTACCATTCAGCGTGCGGTGTGGAGACGCTAACATGCACACAGACAAACACCCAGCTCTCACAGTCACTGGCAAACTTCTGTCAACAGCCGCACATAACCGAACCTGAGTACAACAAGCCATTAAGGTCCATGTCACAAACATCCGAGTTGCCAGGACTGGGACTAGTAGAGCAAAGGTGTGTTGACATGAACAATCCCTTCGCTGATAAACCCAAATGTGTGTGTGTGCCTCTCGCAAACGCTAGAAATTCCTACAATGATTGTCAAAGCACCTTCTCTGCATACTAAGTCTTTAGTAAGCTAGGTTAGTTATATCAACTTATTTCATGCCGCCACCAACACAGAGTACAAATACAGGACAGGGCAATACTCATTTTCACTTGAGTTAAGTGAGGAAAGTCGTGTAAAGTGCCTTTCCCAAGGGCACAAAATCGGTGCCATGTCAGGACTCGAACCCGGGACCTCTTGGTTCCGAGTCGAGCACTCTGCCGCTACGCCACACGGCCCCCATATGTTTGTTGTTATGAATATATAGTAGTAGATGCTGCACACTGTACCTTCTATAATCGTTGTCCAATATAATAAAGTTTATGTAAAAAGCAGTAAGACCCCCTAGACGTAGTCTTTCCAGCCTAGCCGGGCTATCAGACTGTTAGTTTCAGTTAACAATTCTAGCTAGGAGACGGATAAGATATATTGGTACAATTAAAGATTTTAACCAGACTTTCGGAAGGATTATTCTTCCAAGAGCGTTGCCCTTTTGTGTCTGTTTAAGTATGTGTGTTTGTTATACAGTGACACTGCCTCAGGCGGGTACTTGAAGCACACGTATGTTTAGGGCCAGTGTTAAACCGCGGAGGGACAACATTTTTTCACATGTCAGTGCCCCTAGTCTACCAGACTAACTACGCTGGCTATATATAGGAGAATATTTGCCAGGGGAGTTTGGCCGCCATGTAGGTTTGAAAGAAACTACCTCCCCGCGGCCGGACTCCCTTGGCCAATTTTACTCTCTTTTTTGCTGAATTCTACGATCCGTATTCCCGTAGAAAGGCCTGGTGGAGGCTAGTTAAACCGAGGAGGGACAACATTTTTTCACAAGTCAGTGCGCCCAGTCTAGTTGGTGAAGACACGCCATGCTTTGCCTGTCGCTATGGCGCTCTGGTTAGTCGGTGGGGAAATACAGGACTTAAGCTAAGCTTTTGCCATTAGCCTACAAGCGTACAGTGTTTACGGGTTGGATTATGCTATTGACGGCGTTGTGCATGGTTGATACCGTGAGAGTCTATAGTTCGCAGTTCAATGGTGGCGGTTGTTCGTACACTGTGTACTAGTATTTTCCGATAATGTCTACCATGGTAGCAAGCCACACACACACAGACAGACAGACAGACAGACACACACACACACACACAGACACACACACACACACACACACACACACACACACACACACACACACACACACACACACACACACACACACACACACACACACACACACACACACACACACTAGTAATACACAAACACTTGTAGATTGTTAAGCCACCTTATATGTTGCTGTAATGTCTTGTCATGTCTTGTCAGCAGGACAAACCCTTTGTAATAGCCACTGGCTAGTTGGACTGCCCTGGCTGTGAGGGTTGAACATCCGAACCAAGAAATAGATAGTAAACACAAACCAAACACACTTACAGTTACCGCTTTCCCTGCCTGTTTCTGTACACCGATAGGCCGCATGTTCCTCATAGCCTTCAGAGAATTTTCTTTAAACAGTCTCTCGGTCTGCTCGAGCCTCGAAAGTCGCTGCGTCGATGTCGTCATTTCTGACCGGCCACTTGTTCGGGTCGTCTACAGGTGAATTTCCGGAGACAAAAAATCTCGACCGCTGACAACAATTCCGTCAGGATACCGAGTAGGACGATTGTTTCTGTCAGGATGTGCTACTAAAACACAGGACTTCACAGAGCTAGCTTGCCGCCACATGTCGCTTGTAACGAATAACAACAAGCACGTCCGGAAAGTTGTAGCTGGAGGGGTCCATGTATGACCTCTTTGCGGGGGCGCAGGTTGTTCAGAACAGCCCTTCCCGGTAGGTTACGAGAGGTTGAAGAGCCCATATCGCTGACTGGTTTCCATTGGCGAACGCGAACTGGTGTTATAACGATCGATCTCTGAACGCTAGCAGAAAAACTCTAGCGCTACACAGCACACGTCTGCTCTGAAACTGTGCCTCGTGCGTACTGGCTGGTTGCCCGATGGTCTATCAGTCAGTGTCGCCTGCCCCCTCTGTCGCTAGGGACTGTGGATTATTTGAATAAACACCAGACAAACAAAGCCCGCGCTGGGACACACACACTGGAGCCTTCAAACAGACTTGTTGTGTACGAAAGGTACAGGAAGGAGCATCCCAAATAGCCTCCATAGTATGCCAAAAACTGGGGATTTTGGGGGGTCTTTGGGAGCTTTTATGTGCTATTTTCTGATTGCATATAGACAACATAGCCGGCCGGGTTGAACTACCCCCGTTTTTGACTGGGCTAATCAGAAAACAGCCGAAGACAACCAAACCCCCAGTTCTATAAGCCTGCTACGGAGGCTACATCCCAAACTTGTTTCCTGTTTGAAGTCACAACCTGGCGGTTTTTGTTTAGGAAAAGACTGGGTTGTAAGCATGATTTTCTTGTCGAGGCGAGATCATAATTTGTATGCTGTTGTCTGCACTGAGAGCGTGTGAGATATCTACTCCAGATTGGCCGTCGTCATCACCGAAATCATGTTGAGTCCGTGTGTCTTTTTTTAAAGGAATGAAAGTACAAAAATAAAACAACTTCCCAGTCTTGGTATCAGTGAAAGTTTGATAGTTTTTACATAAAAACTTATAGACTGATTGCATGGATGTTTTAATTTGGTATAATATAAGTGTATTTTGCAGCGCACAGTAGCGCATAGCCAGGCGGTGCAACCAGTTCTGTCACCCCTACTGTCAAAATTGCATCTCCCATGGGATGTACCATTCTTTCGACAGGTGGATCATAATTGCTGTGGGAACTGCGTCTCTTTTAAAAATAAACACAGGACACAACTGGACCAGAACACACAACAAAACTCACAACATCCCGCAGTGACGCATTGACAAGAACATTAGATTACAATTAATTGAAAAAAAAAACTTTCACTCCAATTCGTCTCCGTTCAACTTGGCATCTTCACTTTAGTGGCGCCATTCCAACAGGTACTTTTGTCCGACCGGCAAATTTTCTTATTATAGAGACACAATATTCCATTGGAGTGTAGACTGTAGCATATTAATAATCTATGAAGCATATCTATAGATAGTAGACGATATTGTTGACTTCTATTGACTCCCCTTCCTTTCTTCTTCTTCTAACAATTAGAGAAAAGGTTTTTGAAGCAATTCTTTAGCCAGCCTCTTTTATAAGACTTTCTAGGCCATCCTGAAGTCGCCAGTGTCTTTATTATAACCAAGTAATGATGTTTCCCATCCTCTAATAATTGTTTGTTTATTTGTTTCTAAGAGCCATTGTTAATGTAGCCGTCCTTGTGGGATTCTATGGATTTGCGGGTAAAGCCTTACCGAGGGACGTCCTTTTCTTCGCACCTGTGAAGAGACACATGTGGGCCGTGTCTTTTACAGTTTACAAAGAGAGAAGCACCCTTTTGTATCTGTACACTGTGTAGTTGCTATGGCGGATAGTCAACAGTAAATTGCAAGGAAAAACATTCGACGAAATCATCCTCCGTTGCACTTTTGCAATTCACTTTTTAACGGTGGGCCTCCTCCAACATTAAGAAAGAAATGAGTTCTAAATATTGTAAAACAACGCCGATTTGACCGATTTCTACTCTTTCAAGCCGCTTCTGAAGCCTGGTAGAGGCTATTACCCACGTACATGCCTCCTTGTGTTAAAATCTCTGACACCTGCGCGTATCGGCATCAGCGGAAGCGCTTTTCGCACCAGATAACAGCTGACCCCTGACCTCTGATGGCGGGAGAATGACAGCCGGTATCCTGGCAACGGCAGGCGCCGCGGATCGTCCAACGCCTTTCAAACATCTAAACCTGGCAACCGGCGTAATCAAGAAAAACAACACTACAACGTTGGCCCGATTAGCCGAGGAAATTGGTCTTTTGAGTTTGCTGAAGTTGTATTTCTTTCTTCGAGTACGAGATAAGTTACACCTTAATTTAGTCACCATAAGTGTCAATGATCATCATATATTTGCAATATTCAACCAAAAGCATCGATTTTCAATAGATGAAGTTTATATAGTCATAAAGTTATCCCTACACATTCAATAGAGTTTGGTTTGAAGATTAGAAGAGAGACAGAAATTAACGGTACCACTTCTTAAAAGTGTCGGTCGATCCCTTTGAAAATACAGAAACTGCGCGCTTTAGTAGACTCTCCGTACGTCGTCCCACGATTTTGATATTGTAGACTTTTCAAGCAAACTGTGACAGAACCAATCACCGACCAGATTCTAAGACAGCCCTTTCCTTATAACATGACAGCTGAATTTTGCACGACAGATACACAACTACCAGAAGAACTCAGTCGGTTTGCAGTCGCACGACAATAATACGACGGAAGTGACCGGCCCCCAACTTACACAAAACCTCGCCCCAAGTATTGCCTATTTGTAACTACACAAAAGACTTCGGTAAGCTGATTTGAGCACATGTGGACACTCAAAGCATTAAGTTATAACATGACCGCTGAATTTTGCACGACAGATACACAACTACCAGAAGAACTCAGTCGGCTTGCAGTCGCAAGACAATCGCACGACGGAAGCGCCCGACTCCTAACTTACACAAAGCCTTGCCGAAGTATTGCCTATTTGTAACAGAACAAAAGACTTCAGTAAGCTGATTTGAGCACATGTGGACACTGAAAGCATTAACACAAGCATATGTGGACACTGACACAACAACTCAACTCTTTCCTTATCAACTACAATTTCGCACCTATTCCACAAGAAAGGCTCCCCAAACACGGAGTCAATGGTTAACTTCTTATCGGGCTCGTTCGCCTGAGAGGGCGGCGGAAAAGTTCATCAAAAAACAATCCGTGTCCGGAGTAACCAAACTGTTTCCCCGGTCAACCACTCGTACGTGTTGAGTAAGGGCCTAGCTGGTCACATCATGCGTAAGACCGCAAATTTAGGGCATTCTTGAATGAAGAGACTCTTTTTACACAACCAAGTTTTTATTCAGCCGACGTTTCGGTGACCGTCTGTCACCTTCCTCAGGGCAATTCTGACTGATTCACATTGCACTGCATCACAGGTGTCGCTGCTATAGATGCATTCCGAAACGTACAATATTCACATATCTACACGTGGTTGTGTAAAAAGAGTCTCTTTATTCAGTGCCTTACCAACCTGATGAAACTATTCACGGATTAGGGCATTCTTATTGGGATATATATGTATATAGTGGCTGTCTTGTTTAGGAAAACACTAAACATCCTTGTCGGCCGTTGATTCAGTTAATCGCCAAGCAGATGTTTATGTGGCCGCAAAGGCAGTATCAAATTGGCCAAGCAGTATCCATTGGCCAGACTGTAACCATTGGCCACCCAATGCCAATGGTTACAGTCTGGCCAATTTGATACTGTCTTTTGCGGTCAACTAAAAATCTGCTTGGAGATTAGGTTCAGCTACATTCTGCTCGGAAACCTCACAACAAATGCGGCGAATGCGGCTACAGAAAATATAAGGATCAGAAGAATGTCATGTACACATTTGAAGTGACGGGACCTTTGTCTTCGTATAATGAAATCCTTGTAAAAGATAGGGAAGTTGAGAATGTATATAGGCAGTGTAGCCTGGACTTCGACCTACCATCTTAGCTACACACATAACATAAACACTTCAGAAGTGCATATTTACTGTTACAGTTACAGTAACAATTTCTGATGACCACTGCACTCAGAATTATACAAGTTTTAATTAATTATTCTGTAACAGCAACTCTCACAATTTAGGCACATTAAAAAATGAAATCTACTCAGGAATGTTCTGAACACCTATATGAAGTGTGTATAAAGTGGTATCATTCTGGGACACTGCATTAGTATAACTATTTTTTCTCAACTTTTAATTAATTCATCACTGATTTAATGATGCAGTCTTAAGGCACCCGACTGTATAATGAAAGTTACAATACTTCGAATTCATACTTATAAACCTGCTTTTCTGACAACTCTAGTGTCACTGACGAAAGTAGTGGATGCTACCTGAAACGTCTGACCGTTTCCCGAAAATCATATCCAGTTGCTTGAGTAACTTTTTTTAGCGAAAGTTACAGTATCTTGGGTTGAAACAGCGCATTCCTGTGTGTCCAGCCTCTCCTATGTGCGAACAATATGCGGGATAAAGATTATTGATCCTAGGCTTTTAGGCACTCGGCGTGTTGTGAGCTGAACACAAATATTTGCCCAGTCCTCGGCACATCAGCTGTACGCTAGTGGTAGCCTCTACCAGGCTTTCCTGAGGCTCTTTCTAAGCGTAGCCTCTACCGGGCTCCGGGAAGTGGCTAGAAAAAGAGTAGAAATTGCCCAGATAATATGTCAGGTGCGACAAACTATACTCTCAAGCGGACCAACTCCCCTGGCATGTTACTATATATTGTATCTCTCTATTTGGCCAATTTCTAATCTTCAAGCAGATCATACTGTGGCAAGGCAGTATGCATTGGCCAAAGGAGTGCCCGTTATATGCCACCTTGGATACTGGCATGCCACTGTATTGATCTGCTTGGAGATTGCAATTTCTACTCTTTCCACCCGCCTCCTGAAGACTGGTAGAGGCTAGGAGAGCAGTTCGCGACAAACTGCACTCTTGAGCGCAGACCAACTCCCCTGGCATGTTATCTGTCTATTTGGCAGATTTCTATTATTTCCAGCCGTTTCACGAAGCCTAGGAAAGAGCCTTAGGAAAGCCTGGTAGAGGCTACGCTTAGGAATGGCCTTAGGAAAGCCTGGTAGAGGCTACACTTAGGAATGACCTTAGGAAAGCCTAGTAGAGGCTACACTTAGGAATGACCTTAGGAAAGCCTAGTAGAGGCTACACTTAGGAATGGCCTTAGGAAAGCCTGGTAGAGGCTACACTTAGGAATGGCCTTAGGAAAGCCTGGTAGAGGCTACACTTAGGAATGGCCTTAGGAAAGCCTAGTAGAGGCTACACTTAGGAATGGCCTTAGGAAAGCCTGGTAGAGGCTACACTTATGAAGGGCCCATAAGGAAAGCCTGGTGGAGGCTAGAGTGGGTTGATCCCAGATTAAGGTACTAGTAATCAGCGCATGTTATATGGGCGTGGCTTGTTACGGGCAAAACACTTTTAAGAAGGGGATTAACATGTTAGCACAAACTCAATTACCGGTAACCTAGAACAGAACCTAGGGCAACAGCAATACATATCCCGTTTCTTGGATCACCAACTTCAATTTTTTCCCTTTATTTGCAGAAAAAAATTACATGTAAGGTTTTCATATTCTCAGGATACGAACCCACCCTAAAAATGCATCTAGCACGGATAATTTAAGAAAATTCTTGTCTTCTTATGCAGCAAAACCACCAATGTTTGTAATGTTATGATATAATAAACTTTGAAATGTTAGCCAGCCTTATATATAGCCTAGGGAAGACTTAGTCTGTGGATGCAATGTAACAACAATCATGATGAAATTATGATATCATAACAAGGACAATACTGTTATATATGAATCAACTTACATTGTATTTGCCTATTATGATATCATGACCAGGATAATACTGTTATACATACATCAACATATTTTGCCCACTGGACTGTACAGTAATACCTAGCCTCCGTAGCAGGCTTATAGCATGCACTGGGGGTTTGGTGGTCTTCGGCTGTTTTCTGATCAGTCCAGTTCTAAAAACGGGGGTAATTCAACTAGGCCGGCTATGTTGTCTATATGCAATCAGAAAATAGCACATAAAAGCTCCCAAAGACCCTGAAGACCCCCAAAACTCCCAGTTTTTGGCATGCTATGGAGACTAAGTAATACTGGGTCAGGCACCAGTTACAGAGTGACCACTAGAACCAACTGCACGCCACTTCAAGTTTGGAAAGCCCTTCATTCACAAACACCACTTCACGCAATTCTACACAAACCCCATGAAGGGCATTGTTGGTCCAGGCTTGGTGTAAAAGAGCATAACATGGTAGCAAGGTGGTCTGGTGGTTAGAGGGTTGTTGACACAGAATCTGAGGGTTCAGGGTTCGAACCCCTGGCAGGCCCCAGTGTTATGCACTTGGGAAAGGCACTTTACACCTCTTGCTTCAGTTAACTCAGGTGAAAATGGGTGTGTACCTTCAGTTATGGACATCATCTAAATGATTCTTGGATAAGACGTAAAGCTAGAGGTCCCTTGATTGGGGACAGCCACACCTTGAGCATGTTGAAGATCCCACTGCACTTATCAAAAAGAGTAGGGTCCCTTCCTGGTGTGAGTGGTTCAAATCTTACAGTCTGTTCTTATGCAGCTTGTACCTACTGTACATAACTGGTGTGTTACACCGAAAGGTCGACTACTGGATATGCAAAACAAAAACAAAAAAATGCAACAATAGGCAACTCATCCTGTATAACCATTTTCCGTGTATTACTAAGAAATATCACTTCAACCATTTCGATCTTTTACTACCGATATAATGCTTGTAAATACATTGTACTTTATTTTACATTTTGTAGCCATTACCAGCTATCTAATATTACAAATGTAAATGAAAGATAATTAACACATTATAATTGGTTTATTGTTTCAATTGAAAGCAATACACTAAAATACATTGCAGCGACTTGTACATAGTACAAGTCGCTGAATTATGCATATTAGGCAGTTACAAGAAATGAATAAAACACTTAATAAAATCTATAGAAACTACTATACATTGCAAAATAATTAAAATAATTAGACAATAATCATAATAAAAATTACCACACACTGATTATCAAACCATCTTGATACAAACGATAACCATTCACACCTCCACACTACATTATTATATTATCTACATGTATAAGGCACCTTCATATAGAAAAATTCTACAGTACAAAAAGTTGAGTAGAAAAACATCCCTAGTTGAAAAGTTTCATGCAGTCGTGGAGAATTCCCAGGCCATCCAGCTCTCGTAATCTGTCAATGTGTCTGGAAAATAAAATAAAGAGGATTAAATCATGATCACCATGAATTAAAACTGCCATATCCATTGATGATAGTCATAGGCAAAACCTACTGCCGTACCAGAGTACATGTACCTCACTGATTCTACAAAACACAGACACACACTCACACACACACACATTCAATCACACACACACACACACACACACACACACACACACACACACACACACACACACACACACACACACACACACACACACACACACACACACACACACACACATACACGCACAAACACACACGCACGCACGCACGCATAGTATTTACCTTCTATCCTCCTGTACCGGTGTAGCTAGTGCGATGGCACAGTTCTGTTGCACTACAGAGTTCCTGTGGTCTGCTACATACTTCACACACACACACACACACACACACACACACACACACACACACACACACACACACACACACACACACACACACACACACACACACACACACACACACACACACCTCCCTACCTTCTATCCTCCTGTACCAGTGTAGCCAGTGCGATGGCACAGTTCTGCTGCACTACAGAGTTCCTGTGGTCTGCCACGTGCTTCAAAAGCTCCATGACAATGTCTGTACCATAAAGACTCTGGCACAGGGCTTTGTCGTTCAGAAGGTGGCCGATACACAGGGAACTGTTTGCTTGGAGTGTCTCGTCTTCTGCCTTTAGAAGACTTCTCAGGGTTTCAATGTCTGTGAAGAATTTCATTGAGTTGGCAAAGAGAATTTTATATTGAAGGTTTTATATACTTTTACTATTAATTGTAATTATTTATTGATTTGCTACTTATACTTATATAAGTTATACTTGTCATTTTATCATGCTGTGTTTGCCTGCAGAGCACTTTGAAAAACAACTCAATGGCAATTAGTAGTCCCTGGACAAATAAAAACAATCGATGATGAAATGACTGTTAAGAATGCTCTTTATTCAACAACCTTTCTTATTAATATTCAAATTATCCAGCTGCTTGAGTAAGTGTTGCGCAACAACCAGTGAGTTTTCACATCTGACATTTCGTTGACCATCTGCCACCTTCTTCAGGGCAACAATAACTCGTTCTGACTTATTCTACAGCTAGGTGTTGGATGTAGAAACTGACTTGGATGTGAAAGGAAAAAGTAGAGAATAGACTCTTACTGTTGTCCTGCTGTATGACAGTTTTCCTTGCTGCGTCGCTGTCTTTAGTACAGGCTGCCAGGGCCTTCATGGCGTACTTCACAGTCTGGAGTTCAGGGTCCTGTTGTCAGGGACAAAATGGAGAATATCAAATCAAGTTGTTAGGTTGATATGCAATACAAAATGAATCTCAAGCAACTGGAAGAATTCTCTAAGAAGTTATATGATTCAGATTCATTATACATGTGTGCAGAATTTGCTATCTTTCACCAGTGACTCAAAGAATGAGTCTGATGACAATACATTGTAGTGTAACTTGTGAGTATCTGATTTGATATGTATTTTTTTCTTCACATATATATCAATTCAGATACTTATTAATATACAGGTTATAGTGTTGTAGATTGTTGTAGCTGCTCATATAATACATATAATCATGTCTTGTCAGCAGGGCAAGCCCTTTGCAATAGCCACAGGGGTAGATGGCCTACCCTATGTCTGTAGCCAAACAACAAACAAACAAACAAACAAACAAACAAGTATATACAGGTTGCACTTGTTTTATGCACTGTAAGAATAGTACATATCAGGCCAAGACATGAAACAATTGACTAAATAAAGTGTTACCTTGAGCAGTCTGAAGAGTCTGATGGGTGCTGTGTTCTGGCAAACTTTCACACTCTCATCTGACAGGGGGAGGATGTGACTCAAAATACCTGCTGTCCTCTGAACAACAACAACAACAACAACAACAAAAATGTTTAAGGAACAATTTCAAGATCTCAATGAGAACAAGACTACAGGCCGATCTGAGCATCTCATGCATGAATAAAGAATGATTAGAACAGACAGGTTGGCAAGAGACTGTACAAAAAGTTTTTATTTAACAACCAGTGGGTTTTTACATCTGACGTTTTGGTGACTGTCTGTCACCTTCTTCAGGGCAACATTAACTAGTTCTACATTTGGGACTGCACGTGTAACATTGCAGCAGCGACACCTACATGTAGCTGCAGTATGAATCTGAGAACCAGTCATTGTTGCCCTGAAGAAGATGACAGACGGTCACTGAAATTTTGAGTGAAAACCCACTAGTTGATGTATAAAGAACCTTCTTGTACACAACAAAAAAACAATCATGCAATCAGAGATGGCAGACTTCACCAACAATGCACAGTTGAGCAAACAAACCTGAACTATGGTTGTGTTAGGGCTGTCCAGCAGGCCTTGGGTCTTGGACACAGTGGCTACAGCTACTACAGTTTCCTGGGGTGAAAAAAATTAACATGACATTGATAAGACTTACTTCAAAAGACCAAGCATGAGAGTTAAGACCTAAGCTGATCTGCAATGTCTTATGCATCTTGTATTTACATGTTGTACTGTATATCTGTTACAGTAACAGTGTTTAGCCTTTATGGTTCCGGGTCGGAGTTTAATTCTGACCAGGGTTCCAAATAGTGCGCAGTAAATCGCCGGATCTGCGAGGTTGTCACGCTAGGTTTGGCTCCCCATAGCTCGGCGATCGCTGTAGATTTTCAACTAGGTTTTGAATTGATCAAAAAGCCTTGGGATTGTAGTGTTTTTCGGCGCGGTGAAGTTGGACGGCCAGCGAAGCGTTTTTGGTATTAGTCCGCGAGCAAGGGTGATGCGGTTTGTCGCCTGATGACCCAAATAGCTGCGTTCTATGTGGAATTTCTAGGGGTTCGCGTCACCGGATTTTGCGAAAAACTTATCGCAACAACCTATATTTTTTTTCTGTTTTTCAGAAACAGGAAGTAGTAAGCTATTTCAGCATATAAGCCGTTAGCCTGGGAAAATCGTTTTTCCAAGCAGGTCCGTTGAAAAAAACTGCAAAAAAACTACATTTTTCGTATCCAAAATTTACGTTTAACTACAGTTTCTACCCAAATTATAGAGTCGACGGACAATAACCAAAATTGTATCGGAAGCCGGCTGGAAACCTCCGTTGACTGATGTAATGAGATTTCCCGGCGTACTTTTTTTGGCGGAGTTATAGCCCTTCGGTCTGAGGGTGTCCGCCGGATCCAAATCTTAAAAAAACTCGGTCCGAGACCTTAAAGCACGGCGCAT